TCCCTTCCAGGGGGGAGTAGAAATATTCACCCTGTGATGGACTAGCATCCCTTCCAGGGGGGAGTAGAAATATTCCTAGTCTCTTCATGTTGCTGAAACTGGAGATAAGCGCCGGCCTGATGGGCCACTTGGCCCGTATGCAGACTTTATCTTTTACCTCTATTCTATCATTAAGGGCAAGCTGATGTCTGTTTTCTAAGTTCTTAGAACGTATGTGCAATGTGATACACAAAAGGGATTTCAATCTGGAACCTAAGCTAGGCCACCAATCAGTGAAATGGCCTTAATTATGAAGCGACTATTTTCATCTCATGAGCCAAGGTTTTTATTAACGTTTTCAGGAGGAGGGCAAAAGTATTTGATCCGAAATTCTTTATAACAAAAACTTTCCATTAATTGGCGAAACCAGCTGGGCAAAATTGTCTTCACAGCCGGTCAGTTTGCCCAGTGCCCGGCTCTTAATGAAACCCTTGTGAGCGAAAGCACCAAATGGTTCGTCGTTACCCCATTTTTGGTTGAGAAAGGCACTATGAGACTAAACTGTCTTTGTATAGAACACTGACACAGTGAACCTAGTCTGGGCTCGAAACTTGGCGTTGGGCTCTACCCCGGAGGCACTACACGTAAGGTCACCGTAATTCTCTCTCTTGAGTAATTGAAAGAAAAAGAAAACAATGAATATAGAATAAAATAAACAGAGGTGACTGACTGTTTGTTCTTTTGCTTCAGTCGCACGTGCCCAGTGTGTCGACAGCCACTTCCTAAATGGAGAGGAAGAAAATCTCTTAATAAATGAGTAAATAAATATGTTTAATAAGGACACTAGACAAAGGCCAATTTTGATTAGTTAATAATTGTCTCTATATCTTAGTTACGACCGTAGTTACAATGTTTACTTCCTTTTTTATTGGTTTTGTAATCGGACCTTTAAGCGTCACCACGCGCATATAAAAGCTGAGTTTGCGTCCCTTTAAAGTAGTTTTTCGTTCCATCTCGCGTGGTCTTGTCAACCTTGAACTCTTGATGTTTTTTTTATTTCCTAACCTTTGGCTCAAGGGGGACCGATATGTGGTTACCTTTGTCATTTTGATTAGGTCGCGTTTTTATAGTTATTGGCGAAAGAATACAAGGGAACATTTGTACAACGTTAACTGTTTTATAATCGTCTAAATTAGAGAATGTTCTTAACATTACTAGAGTGAACGCCCACCTTTTAGGTTCGAGAGCATTAAACTGTTAATCAGTTCCTTTTGTTGTGTAATTCTGTTGTTGAATCTTGTTTAGTATCTTAGCGTACCATTTATACTGGCTATTTTTGATGTATTGTTGTTTAATTTCGTTATGTTATCGACTCGAAATCGTTAGTTTGTCTCGTGTAGGCATAGTTGATAGAGGGGAATGGTTATGACACTCGACAAAGGTCTTTGCTGTTTGTTTTTTCTCTTTTTTGGCCTTGACCGTGCACAAAGCACAATAGTTGTTTCCTACTGACCGAGGAACTAACCAATCAAAACGTTTTGATTACGTAATTCATGCATAGTGTATGAACGCAACACAAAAGATTGTGCACAGTCGTGGATCTTCCAACATAAATCTTAGCATCTTTGTTTGCACCTGTGACGTTTGCCGGACTTCATAACCATTCCCCTTCATTAACTATGGGGTAGGTTTTAACTATTTGTAACGCAATTTTTCGCTAAATTGATAGAAATTCGTTACATCTTGTTATTTCAGTAAACGATCGTTTATTTTGATGCAATAAATCGCCGATAAAGGTTAACTTTGGTTTTCCGTGGTTTACTTGTCTACCTTTGAAGACGACCTGTGAAGTAGTCCCACCCACTAGTTTGTCGCGACACGCCTAGAGCTGGTTTTGTTTCGTCTCGTTTTGGAATTTGCCAGTCGCTGCAAGCGCAACGGTTATACTGTGTTGTGGTTTCTCACTGTACAACATTACGGTGTTATTATTTTCTTACTGCTGTCTTGTCTATTTAATTGTTATTATATAATAAAGAAACAAAAAATGTTTCTTTAGTATTTTTGTTAGTATTTTTATACTATTTTAGTGCTACCCTCTTTAAATAAAGTCTTTACTTACTTACTTACTTA